GGGGGCTAAGAACACACTTATCTCCCTGAGCATGGCCTTCATAAGTCCATTCCATCACAGTAAGCAAGGACTATCTGTATACACCTTATAGTCAGCAGAAATATTCCAGGGCCATGCTTTGGAAAAGGATTTGCCTTAAACAAACAGGACATACTAAAAAAAATACATCAAGTGTTCATTGTAATGTATTTGCTCATTCTGAATGGCCAAAGGAAGCCATTGGAGCTATCTGTAAATCAAAATAATTTGCCATAAATGAAGTTCAGCTGGTTTACATTTTTAAGGAACTGTCCTCAAATTAAAATATTTACTTACTGTAAATATTGCTCTTTTCAGCAAAAACCATTTACTTCAGCAAAACCCATCCATTTACTTCTCTAAGCGCATTGTTAAGTAGCTTTGTAGGGCTTCTGCCCATCCCTCTCTAGGAAATCCTGCTTGATGAGTGCTAGGTGCAGGAAAGTAGAAACCCTACTCCACACCTTCTCACAGACTGTCCTTTGGAGATTATACATGTAACTTTTTATACCCCTCAGTTTGTAAGTATCCCATTTTAAAAAAGTGCTTCATCACCCCTGCCTAAAATGTGTATGCCCACTATACAGAGAATAGTCTAAACCTATTTTTTCTAGGCATTCTTCTAAAACAAATAAATACATACATACGTAAATTAAGATATAATTTAAAATAACTTATTCATTCCCTTTTTTATAATAGTAGTAAAAATCATTCTTCCCAAGCTGTCGGTTAGAACCCAAATCATCAGAAAAGACCCAGTCTAAAGACTTTCTTTGTTGGGCAGGTAGATAATAATAATACTGTACTGATTTGTATTGTCATGCAAGTAAATGGAACAACTGGACCTCAACAGGCGTTAAGCCTAAAGTAAAAACCTCTGATTCAGAATTTGGCCAGATCCTTGTCCCATCACAACTAAGGGCCACCCGCTACTTCTTGAAGGCAGGAACAGACATCATCCACCACCAACTCTCAGCCCATCACAAATACATGCCCAGGTTTTGATGCTTTGCTTCAAAGGCACTATTTCTATCCTGAGCAACCTTTAGGTCTTCCAAGTGGTTGGTCCATCACACTTCATTCCAATCTAAGAAATCCCTAGCACCATTTGGCTACAGCATCTTGCATGCTCCCAATCCCCAAGACCTAGTCTCTGCCCTGTGTGGCCATTTCATCCTTCAGCTTTATTCCTGTTCTTCTTCCAGTTGATTCAATGATGGCCCATAAAGGGCATGAAGTCCAGTAAAGTCTTCTGGCCACCATGTTTTCCCTATCTGTGCAAGGTACCTTTGATCCATCCTTACATTTCCAAATGACCATAATTTGGTTTTTGCCCAGGCTGGTTGAATCATACCTTTATTTCTTTCCCACCCTGTGTCTGCTGTATTGCAATGGCTCCCTCCCCCCATCTTTTAAAAAAAAACTCATTAAGTTGCAGTGTAGGATGTTGGAATAAAGCTTCAAAGTTTCAATGAATGGCATTCCTTTCCTTCCATGCATCTGAATCATTGGTTCTTCAACGCCACAAAGTTTATATGGCCCTATATGGAAGGAATCACTTGGTATAGAGAGTCAGGGAGATGACCTTGAGGGAAGTAGGCAGGAACTGTTATATAAGCAAGGAGGGCTGAAACGTTCCTTAAGACTTGAAACAAGATAGTATTTGGAAAAGACTCAGCCAGGCTCCTCCCTGATTCTTTGGGAAATAACAGGGTGGGGTGGAAAAGGACAATCAAGCTTGCACAATTCTGTTATTATAGCCTATCTCAATAAAGTGTTCATGGTTGCTAGGAGTCAAAAATGACTTGATGGACATAATCAATCAAGTGTAATTCTAGTCTTCTTGCAGAGTTGATTTTCTGGTCTGATCTACCCCAAAAGACTGACACTTGTTCCGGTTGCTTATTTACTGTAGCATCAGAGCAACAATGGTACAATAAGGGCAGGGGGAGGAGAGAATAGGTCTGTGTTAGTGTCAACTAACAGAGCATGGAAAGGGTTTTGAAAATATCTGTGTGCAGACATCTGGGAAAGCACAAGAATAGAACAGGGGCCAGTAAAGAGGAAGCAAGGGAAAAGGTACGCACGGGTAGACCCACCCCCAAAGGGCCAGACAGTGAGGCCTTACCTGCACAAATGGAGAGGGCAAGAAGGAGA